TATAGAATTTAACTTTATTCTGAGTGTTGTTAATATGCATTTTTAATTTGTTATATATTAACAAAAACAGTTCCAAAGATGTATATGTTATTTTCAAAATATTTTACGGACTCAAGCATATAATTGTGTTATATTTATAAATTTGTTTGTTCTTTTAAAATTCCCCCTTTGGTATTTATTTTTAGAGCAGTATTGTCTAAAGTGTCAAAGGTTTCTAATCCAAATTTCATGAGGGTCAGCATTCAGAACCCCAGCTCCTTTTATCCAAGGCACCTAAAACCACACCTGGCAACAAATAGGTGCAAAAACCACAACAGAGCATTATGCACTAGGATTTGTATATTCACATGATATGAGCATCTCTGTAAGGACAACAGACTGGGATCAACAGCATTATTCTGCACGAAAATCTCTAATCCCGCTTTTCTCGGTTTGTCAAAGACTATGCAAATACAACATATATGTTATACATACACACAGTAGAAACTGGGGGAGAATGTTACCTTACTTCTACATTTCATCCTGTTGTCACCTTACCCTAAGGGTGACAACAGGATGAACCCTAAGGTTCAGTTTAAGGACTGAACCTTCGTTTGCATCTTGAAAATACTTAAGATATTGTGGGTACTTTGAGATGACAAGTGCAACATGAAACATACTTAGCATAATATTGATGAATAATGTTGCACATACTTTTAACAAAAGACTTAGGTTTGTTTGTTTGTTTTTGGTTATTAACCACAACATAGCACTGTGTAGTTCATTGATTTTGTTCTAATGAATAGAGAGATTAAACAACAATAAAAGGGTGTGCAATCATTTAAAAAGCTTTAATCCCTCCATAGGTAAATATAAATAAAGTAATAAAATAATCAAGCATAGAATTAATAAACTTTCAAACAGCTTAATAAATATATATGTGCAGGGCAAAAATGAAACAGCTAAAATTTATTTAAAATATATAAATGTATATGCTTCTAATAATATTGGAATATTTCAATGCCTTTATTAAAAATGTTAACTTCATTTAATATAAACTTTATATTATTTGATTGCAAATGTTGCAATCAAAGTGTGACTTCTGAAAATTTCAGAGTAATATGAGGAGAAAAAWTTCAATTCAGGTTTTGAATTATTTCAGTAATGTAGAAAAGTTTCTTTTCAATTAAGTAATTCTTCATTTAGGTTTAGTTTTCATTTGCTTATATTTTAATAKGCATATTCATTCTAAATATTAAGTAATGAATACAAAAGTCTTACAGTCTCCAGCTTACTGTTTGAGATCCTCTTCGCTTCCACGGGACTCCTGAAGTTGCCTTTTAGAGATACTTTCACTATTGAATAGGATCTTATCCTAATATTAGCTATGACTTAAAGGCATAACAAGATAATAAAGGAAAAAATATGAAGAGATATAATAGAAATATCATTAATGAGAGAGTACAATTAAAGTATCATTAAGATCAAGGACATTGTAGTATTGAGTTAGCAATTCCATCAGTGAATATCCAGGAATTTAAAGGAGTTCTGTTCTTATGAAGGTAATCTGTTCGTAACTGCATGCTATTTATAAAAATGAGGAGTAAGGGATCCAGCCAAAAAGAAAAATCAAATTTTGGGCACACAAAAAACTGTACTAAAAATGAAACAATTCCTTTCAGTTCCCTCAGTTCTCTGTGCTATAAACACTGATGTCACGGGAACAACTGASAGGAGTTGATTTGCACATACAGTCTTGATAGGTAAGGGATTTTATTTTGAAAACAAAACAAAACAAACAAAAAAAGTCCAGGAATTATGAGATCCCCAGATTACTTTTTTCACTTGCCTCAACTAATCATATGAGTACCATTCAACCAAAAATGACCAAACATGTCAGTTTTAAGCTTGCAAATAAAAACAGAAATTTCAAGTAATGGCACAAAAAATTGAAAATTTTCAAATCCAATTTATTTTAAAAATTTGCTGTCATTTCTCAAGGTACTCTTAAATTTTAGAATGGGAGTGGAAGTTTCTCTCTGTGTGTGTTTGTGTATGTGTGTTTAAAGAATAAAAATCTTTTGCCCAGTATTAGTATCCCCATTTGTTCTAGACTAAGAAAAAAAAAAAATGAAAGAAAATTCATGCTGGTGATTTCATTTAAGCATTACGTTAATGTGGTGCTGGGAACATTCTAAACACCTACATATATATTATTGCCACTACATCAAAATAATGCCATCTGCCAAAAAAGGCTAAACTCCCTGAAAACCATTCCAGCAGGTGACAACCGTGGAGTGGCATGCAATCCACCATTTCTAGGGACCTAAAATCAATACCTTCTCTGCAGTATCAGCTTCTGCTGGCTCAAAAAGACAGCCAGCGGAGTCAAAAGTTTTACACTAGAAATTAATTTGGCTCACTACGCCTAAGGTTTAAACTTCTTCCACATAGTTAATGATGCATGATATCACTAATGATAAGTATGAAATGGTAAGTAGACAAGACAGTAGATGACAATTGGTTGTGAGGTTAAGAAGGGAAATGTATGAGACCTTGGCACTTTTACTATGATTCCTCTTTTTCAAAAAAATTGGACATGTCTGTGCATCTCAACTGGCAAATACTGTAATTATTTTGAGAGTTTGGCAACATTCTCACATTACATAGGCAAAAAGCTTGTTCACATTTCAAAGAAATACGCAATGCAGCCTTGTGATAAGGATATTCCATCCTTTTCTCTTCTGTTTCGTTTTGTCCCTGTGGGACAAGTGCAGAAGCCTGAAGAAATCTGCTGCTTTCTCTCAGCATATTATGTTTTTGTTCTATTACTATAGAGAGAGGAATGATTTTCTTACACATTAGTAGCTAGGCTAAAGAAGGAATGTTTGATATTTTCTAACCATCACCAGCTTTTTGGAAAAAAAAAACAGATTTTTTTTTGTAATATATGTTTGTGTAAGATATTGAAGTAATATAAGAAAGTTTAATATATGCTATTATTCAGAAACAACATTGAAATTTTATTTATTGAATGCACTTTAAAATAGCCTTAATTAAAAATAAAAAACAGAACTCTTCAAATATAGAGGTCAAGGGTGCAAATCAAATGCTTTTGGCCTTATAATCTCCTCTTTATAATCTTTATAATCTCCTCTTTACAACTGTCTTCCACGGAGCATCTGCCGAACTAAGACTGAAAACACATGTTGACTGGAAGCTCAAGTGTCATCCTAGTTGGACGGTCATCCAGCCAGCTGAGAGTAGAACAGTGTATAAGTCATGAGAGCAGARCAGTGTATAAGTGAGCTTTATCAACGACAGAGATATTCGTGAAAACTCTAAACAACTGTTTTWTACAAAGTGAGGGGGGAAGAAGGGGAAGAGAAACTATACAGCTGAAYTTCATGTATTATTTAATTATATGATTATGCTATTGACTAGGAGTGSAATCCTGTTCTTACATTTTTATTCATGATGTGACAATAACTTGGTTATTGAGATTGACCTCTTCCTTTCATTTTCAGAAAACCTATGCTCTATACATACTTAAATGAGAGAAAAGCTGATCTGTTTTAAAAATCCAGCTTGACACTTATCATGATGACAGATGGTTTTAAYTTGTGGTGATATTATACTGTACTGWTGATAGTAATTGATACTACAGCTGGAAATTCATCGAGCCATACGTATTGAGTATCATAGATACCAGGCTTATAATAACTGAATTCAAATTCATTTAGAAAATATTTAAAATCAAATATAATTTCTGAAAAATGAGGTTAATAGCTAGTCCATCAGTAATCAGAAATATATTTTACAGATATAATTGTAAGAAAATGAAAACTTTTCAGATAAAATATTCTTCAACAATTACTCAGCCAGTGGTTTTGTATGGCAAAGTTGTTCAAATGCATGTAGTTCATGAAAAAGACTTAGCTCAAATTAATTAAAAATCCCCCCAAAAAACCCTTATTGAACTTTTTTTTCATATTTTCAAGACTATAGACCTTTTAGAGGCTTTTAATAAAATTTCTACTCTTTTTGCACTACTAGTATGTGTAATAATTGACATACTTCAGTGAATGTAGACTTTAGTCAGTAAAATTCACTGGTGCCTGTCAAACACTTCTTTGATATCACATCACAGTCTGAAATATCATAGAATCACAGAATCATAGAATCCTTAAGATTAGAAGGGGCCTTTAGAGATCATCTAGTCCAACCCCTASTGCACACACAGGGACACCTAGAGCACATGGCACAGGGCTGCTACGAAACAGGATTTCAAAATCTCCAGAGAAGGAGACTCCACAGYCTCTCTGGGCAGCCTGTTCCAGAGCTCTGTCACTCTCACTGTTAAGAATTTTTTCCTTAAGTTCCTGTGGAACTTTTGGTGCCTCAGCTTGTTGCCATTTCCTCTAGTTCTGTCAGTGGCCACAACTGAAAAGAGGCCGGCCCCAACCTCTTTACTCCCTCCCTTGAGATATTACATACACACTTATCAGATTCCTATCAACCTTCTCTTCTACGGGCTGAACAGGCCCAGCTCTCTCAGCCTTTGCTCATAGGGCAGATGTTCCAGGCCTCTGATCATCCTGGTAGCCCTGCGCTGGACTCTCTCCAGCAGCTCCACATTCCTCTTGTACTGGGGAGCCCAGAGCTGGACGCAGTACTCCAGATGTGGCCTCACCAGGGCTGTGTATAGGGGGACGATCACCTCTCTCGACCTGCTGGAGACACTCTTCTTAATGCATCCCAGGATCCCGTTGRCCTTCTTGGCCATGCAGGAACATTGCTGCCTCATGGTCATCTTGTCATCCATCATGCCACCCTATATGGTTAAAAATAAGATATTTTTCAATCATTGACAGTTTGATATTTTTTATAGTTGCTTGATTTATTTTGTTTTATTTTATCTAGAAGGCACAGAGGATATGAAAGGCCTCACAGATGCTRGTATATCCTGTGAGTGATCACTCCTAACCTGACTCAAGTCTCAGCTTTGATGCTCCTTTCTTGTGTTTGTTTYGGCAGCACATATACTAAAATTGGAATGATACAGAGTAGATTAGCATGGCCCCTRCGCAAGGGTGACACGCAAATTCATTTTTATTATTTTCGTGGAGGTTCTCGAGAGGGTCCAGAGAAGAGCAACTAAGATGATTAAGGGAATGAAACATCTCTCGTATGAGGAGAGAATGAGTGAGCTGGGCCTGTTTTCTCTGGAGAAGAGAAGGCTGAGAGGGGATCTGATTAACATGTATAAGTTCAGGAAGGGAGAATGCAGGGAGGAAGGGGACAAGCTGTTTTCACTGGTGGCCAGTGACAGGACGAGGGGTAATGGCCATAAGCTGGAGCACAGGAAGTTCCGTCTCCAGGTGAGGAGGAACTTCTTTACTGTKAGGGTGACAGAGCAGTGGAATAGGCTGCCCAGGGGGGTTGTGGAGTCTCCTTCTCTTCAAAGGGTCTTCAAAACCCTGGATGCCGCCCTGTGCCACATGCTSTAGGTGTGCCTGTTTGAGCAGGAAGGTTGGACTAGATGATCTCTAAAGGTCCCTTCCAACCTTGAATATTCTGTGATTCTGTGATTCTTTAGTTACAGTGTCAAATACAAGAMTTCGTAACCAAAAATAATTTGTCTCTTTAATGATACTTTCACTATRACCTTATCTAACCAACAAATTTTGCCTTATCTACAAAAAATATATATTTAAAATTTTCTGTTATTTTAAGGTTTATTTTCAAAGCATTTTATATTTTATTTACTGTCTACTGTGATGTGTATTAACATCAGGCTGTAATGATGATTTTAGCAGATGCTCTGAAAAGTTTGTTTGAACCTCTTTAAGAACTAAGTCCTTTAAGAACTAAGAACTAATTGGGAGAAATGATGGGAGTATGTCTCAATAATGCTTGTAATCTGAGAGGTTTTGATTTCCTCCAGACTGGAATTATAATTGTATGTTACAACAGTACATTGTAAATGGGAGGAAGCACTTTAAGGAAAAAAATGCTACATAGGAAAGCATTCATTTCAACTACTGCTAATCTACATCTCATAAGAGGATATCTTCTTTTTTTTTCTTGAAGTCACCAACATTTGTATTTTTGTATCTACCTTAGCCATGATAAGGAAAAGTAGAAAGGTGAGAGTGAAAATGTTAAATTAAGCAAGAAATACTAAAATAAAAAAAACATAGGCAAGAATGAAAGGGGACACAGCAGCAGTTAAAGATCTGTCACGCTTTCCATTAGAGTATCACTGTGACTGAATATAGGAAGGAAGCCATTTATTTGAAAGATCTTAGCAAGTCTTGAGCAAATACAGAAAAACAAATGAAAGAAACTAAAAAAAAAAAAAAAANAAAAAAAAAAAAAAAAAAAAGACCACAGAAATACATATACAAGAAAAAGACAGGAGATAGGAAAGAAAAGAAGGGATACTGCATTCTGGAATGATAGTAGTGATAAATAAACCCATATGAGTGAGAAACAGGATATGAAAGGAATATACTTAATGCTTTTATCTCATGTATTTCTTCTTTAGTGTCTGAGCAATAAAGACAAAATAAATGAACTAATCTGAGAACTCCTATTTTCTTAAGTATAGCTTCCTTTTATTCTTGCTTACTGAAAACCCATTTAATTTAAAATATGTATGAGGAAAGGGGAAAAGCTCTTAGTCTAAACCCACGTACGGACAGGTTCAATTTGAAGCACACTTTTTATGGCTGAGTTCCAAAGAGCAGTAGAATGGGATTTACAGTGGCAGTGTTGACAGGATCTTAAGTATAACAGCATTAGAAAACTGCTGCTATAACTTTTTCAGATAGAGACAGTTACAATAAGTTGTAGGCTACAATTAAGGTCCATTTATTATTGCTACCTTCTCAACATTGAAAAGGTTAAGGACTTTGGGCTTTGGTTAAGATCTTTCAGGACTCTAAATTTTCCTTGCAGTTTGGGTCAGCCATAAATACTACAGAAAAGTCCAAAGGATTTCTTTTCTCAAGTTTTACCACTACAAAAGATGTAAAGACAGGAAAGAGAGAAAGACCACTGAAAGCAATACATTTGGTTTTCATTTAGCCRCAAGACTTTTTTTAAGATCTTCCATTAGATCTGCTCTACAGATAGTTTCCATTGTCCCTGTATCTTTTTTTCTCAGCAAGACCTCAGTAAAGTGTCTGTACTTTTTGTAGAAAAAAAAAACAGAAAAAAAAATCTCTATTTTCCATTTAGAAATCTGAGCTGTTAAAGAGAAAGTCAAGCATGGGGCAAGAATTTCCCCTGCATAACATAATCTTCTGTCTGAGAAATACTATTTCATGTGGGTGATATACTCATCAGAATCTGAAATCTTACCGGTTGGCTAGTGAGATACTGCATTATGTAAACTAAGAAAACACTAGCTGGGTGTTTTCAGAAGATATAATTATGCTGTTTCTGTGGATTCTGACAACAAATCTTCACTTCCTTCATATTATATCTTGCTGCATACATTTCTGGTTGGTGATAAGCTGAATATGAAAAGGAAATACTTCAGGACATTCTCACATAAGTCTTACAAAATAAAAATACGTCAGCTGTAAATTTTCAATTATATTTTTTTGTTTAGCATGAGATACTATGTCAATCTGAATATTGATTTTAGAATTTTGCAGCATCTTATTGGTGAGTATAGCAGTTCCAAACAAACGTATTCTTCCATGCCCAGCACTGAATTTTCACTCTTGACAGTAGATTCTTAGGACAAAACAGCGCTAGCAAAAGCTATTCAGTGATATTAAGATATTAACACTCATTAGCACTAGAGACTAGAACAACTATAAAGCTTGCTACCCTCAGGATGCAATGTAAAAAACACACTTTGACATAGTTTTTCTGCATATCATTAAAGAAATATAAACAAAAATCACTTTGCTCAAGGGTAGAGAGGAAAAAAATATCACCAGGGATTAAATCACTGCAGATTTCTACAACAGTTAATAGTTTGAAACACCCTAGTTATAAGCAGGATATCACAACTGGAGCATAGGAGTCCCTCACATTGACCTTCCAGTTTGTCCTACCTGGCTTTTTCAGTTCATCTTACCACCCAGACTGTTTAAAGTACTTTTTATGTTTTTGGATCTTTTCTTTTTTTCTTTCTTTACCTTTTCTTTCTTTTCTCCTGAAGCCTTTGGCTTAGGGAGTTTTCTAGAAGCTGTTGGTTTGTGAACTCCCCCATAAGGCTTCTGATGTCCTGTTTTTTTCTAGAGGCAGGTTTGAGTGAGGCTACTCATCTCATAGGGCATGAATCACTGTGAACAGAAGTAAAACAAGAAAAGTAGGTTTTCTCAGCTAGATAACAGAAGATGCTTTTGAGCAGAAGTTATTCATGTCTGGAAAACTTTACCTTAAGAAAGTATTTATAGTCCCTAGATTTAGTTAAGAATACCACATTGGTTCTGCAAAACCTTCATTTGCTTCTTGCTACACAACTCTATTCTGCTATCTGTGTCAGAAAAGGGAYATTGTGATTGTCAGAAGATATCTCTACAGTATCCTGACCATCATTTTGACTGATAGATAGGAGTATCTGTTGCACTCAGGGACTAGAGAAGTCAGGGAGCACTGGAGTTCCTTCCTAAAGGTTACAAGAAAGTACTAGGTACAGCAAATACAGCAGCAATTATATTTTGATATTAATTAAAGTACTTAATCATTCCATAAGTGTGTATACAATTTTTGKGAAATTTTTAATGATATTATATACATCCAGTCAATCCTTATAATACCTTGAGGACTGAGGAAGATGCAGAAATTAAGCAAATGGAAATATTCATATGGAGTGAAAAAAAATACAGCAATTTTTTTCTGTTGTAATCAGAAATAACCAATACCAGAAATAACCAGTAAAACAGAATTCAGTTTCTGTGGGGTTTTACAGTGTGTCACACACTTCCCTAATTCCCAAAGTCATTATAAAGCCACAGAGAGTGTGAATGTTGACAAGAACTTCAATTTGTATCATGCTTTCTCATTTTATAGCTTTGTTTGCAGAATCTCAGTTCAAACCATTTCTGAGCAGAGAAGTTTATTTTCTAAACTTTTCCAACATTTAAGTTAAATACATACATACAGATCTGTAAAAGCAGGCAAGCTCCTGCCTTACAAAAACAAGTATTAATAGCTTGCATTCCTCATTATAAATACCATAGTATCTACTGAAGGATATGAGCAGAGAAAATTTCAGGTTACTGATGGAGATGCTACAGAATTACATATCAAAACCAAGGGGATTTTCTAGATGACAAGCTAAAAGTGGTTACATAAATCAAACAAATTTAATTTTTCTCTGAACCACAGAATGTAAATGTTTTTACAGACAAATGCCAGGATATCTTTATTTCATACAATAGTTTCAGCAGTTTGCATATTTAACCCACAGTGTAGCTCTGTATATAATATTGATTTAATGAAACTTCTCTCCTTACAACAGAATAAGTGAATGGAACTACTGCCAAGTCAGTTTAATCGCCCACAGTTCTATGATGTGCTATACACTCTATTATTCAAGCCACACATAGCAAACTACATTTGAATGATCAGCCTTACCAACAGGTACAACCTAAAAGAGATTTAACTGCTTTAGCCTTTGGCATCCTTTACCCACAACTGACTACAACTGTGGCTTAGTTTCAATTACAAGACATAGCAGTTACTTAGTGGCCTTTCATCTGGAAAAGGAGCGATAAAATGAATGTAATTTAATAAAACGTTTCATCATTTTTTGGCCACTTTTGACTTGTTTTCCAAGATATCAAGATTCAAATGTTCTTCTAGAAGAGATGGCAAGAGTTAGGGTCCTTAGTCTCTTCGAGGTTTTTGATAACTGTGTCCAGTCGGTTAGCAATTACAAAGTGGCTGTTGAGCTTTCTAGGAAGTTCAGAAGCAAAGAAAGCATTGGTTTTGTCTACATGTCTTTTTCCCATTTCTGTGTGATGTACTTGATCTTTATGATTTCCTCAGAATAACAAGAAAGAGGAACGGGGGTTCTGCTAAGACCTGTGAACAAAACTGCCTGCTGGGTATTCTGAGTTCATCCTTACTTGGTCAGTCATGTTAGCAACTGTAA